GGCTTGATCAGATTCAGACTGGACTTTCTGGCAGTAAAGATACTTCTTAGGTGGCATGTCACCTAGTCCTTGGCACATACGTGGCGGCAGTTTGTTCCGTTGATGATAAAATTGCAGAAGGGGAGGATTTTGAGAGAGGCTGGAGCATGGAATTACTGGGGTATGAGGTGTAAGGGGGAGCTGGGGCCCAGCGTTAGGCTCAACCCCAGAGTCAGAGTCCTGGGACTGAGGCTTGGGGTTGGCTGCAGCACCGACCGGATGATTTCAGGCGCTCACCCCACAGCCTGAGCCCTGCTTTCCTCTCTTTCCTCTCTATGAGCTAATGATGGGCCCGCTCAGCCTGGACGATGAAATGCCGTGTGGGGCAGCCACTCCTTCCTCCCCAGCCGTTTCCCTCTAGCTACAGGCACCTTGCGGTGCCACCACCGGAGGAGTCTTTGCAAGAGCAGGGAGGGAGCCGGGTGTCGGGGCTTGAGGCAGGGTCCCCGCTGGGCTGTCCGAGAGCCAGCAGTGGCAGTGCTGGTGGGGTCTGGGCTGTGCTGCTGGCCTGGCCACGGGTGTCTGGCGCCCAGGAGGAGGGCTCGTGTACAGCCGCCGTATTTCCCGGGTCCCTGGCTTCTGTCCTCTGCCCAGAGACCTCTTCAGACCTTCCCCACCCTCCCAAGCCTCCACCCGCCCTGCTCCTCCCGGTAGCACCGTGCGACCTTGGCGGCTTGAGCCCGCTAGGCTGCAGGGCGCGCCCTGTGCGTGGCCCAGGCTCGCTTCACTCCTGTTGTCGCCGCAGACCCTCGTGGTCGTCCTCCTGCCACCCCGCTGTCCCCCAGCCTCCCCGCTCCCCTTTATGAACCTGCACCTTCCTGGGCATCTGATGCTCCCCTCTGCCCCAAGCACGTTTTCTCAGAAGTGTCTTCGGTCCGAGGTCCAAGGAGATCCTCAGCTCCCGCTGGCGCGGCCCCGGGAGCCTCCCGCAGGGGCCTCACTCAGGCCGCGGTCAGCCTCTGCCCTGGAGCCGGAGGAGGAGAACGGGCCTCTCGGGAAGAAGCGGAGTACGCTGATCTGGCCTCCTGCGAAGCGCGCTCTAAGCTTCTGCTTGGCCACGGGCGGGCGAACTACGCTCTCCTGTTTCCTTTCCATCTCGCCTCAGGGGCTTTGTCCTCCGGCCATGGCCGTGGCCAGGCATCCCGGAGCGGCCCCCTGGATCCCAGCACCCACTCCCACTCCCACCCTCGCGTGTGCCCACCCGCCCTCGGCAGCTGCTCCCAAGGGCACCCTCCCTCTCTCCTGCCCTCTCTCCCTCCCTCTTTCCCAATCTTCCTCCTTCCCTCCCTCTCTCCCTCCCTTCCTGTCTTTCCCCTTGTTCCTCCTTCCCTCCCTCTCTCCTTTTTTCCCTCCCACTTCCTCCCCCTTCCCTCTCTCCCTTTTTCTCTCTCCCTCTCCCTCCTCCCTCTCTCCCTCCCTCCCCTCCCTCTTTCCCTTTCTCTCCCTCCCCCTCCCCTCCCTCTCTCCCTCCCCTTTCCTCCCCTCTCCCCTCCCTCTCTCCCTCCCCTCTTTCCTTCCCCCTCCCCCTCCCTCTCTTCCTTACCCCCTTCCCTCCCCCCTTCCCCCTTCCCTCCCCCCTCCCCTCCCTCTCTCCCTCTCTCTTCCCCTCTACCTCCCTCACTCCCTCCCTCTCCCCCTCTCTGAGCCCAGGTTCTTGGTGGCATCTGCTTTGGGCAGCTCTTCAGCTCCTTTCTCAGGGAGGTCACCTCACTTTCCCAGGGACAGACAATGTCTCCCTGCAGACAGGCCCTGCCCTCCTGAGCTGATGTCCCATCTGGATGGAATATGTCCCCTCAGAGTTGGTGGGAGCACCAGGTCACAGTGTTGTGGGGCCCGCAGTGGCTGCTGGGCTGGGCAGGGCAGGCAGAGTGGCTCCTTGCTCTGGCCTTGGCCCCGACAGGAGTGGGGCATGGTGGCCAAAGGGCCAAGAGCTCCTGCGGAACTGTGCCCAGGGCGACTTCTTATTTTCTGAGGGGTAGAAGCCTATCCTCAGTGTGTCCTCGTGGCAGTCAGGACCCACGGGCTCGCCTCCCAGTCCCCCAGGCCAGTTCATCTTCCACACACTGACCTTCCCGCTGGGTCAGAAGCCATGGGGGAGTCCTGTCATTGGCCTCTACCCAAGGTCCTCAGTGTGGGTGCTAGGCTGGCACTGTAGTGAAATAAATAGGAGGTAGGACACATACATTATCTACTGGAACACACACACACGTGACTGAACACCTCAAACCGGGACAGTTCCTGGGAGCATCTCCTCCAGACTGAAATCAATGCCAGGGCTGCCCAGAGAGGGTGGAGCAGACACCATCTAACTGGGGGATTCTGCGGAAGAGCTGGTAATGGAGGGGCTTTTAGGGAAGAAAGACACAGCTTCATGATAAAGGATTGACAGATGTCAAGCTCAGAGCCCAAGAAAGCACATTTTGAGGAAAAAGCCACAGACTGAGGAAGAGAAGGGAACCAGGGCCCCCACCTCCCGGGTCAGTCTGCCTGCTGTTCTGGGCAGGCTGTCACATCAGACAAGTCCTTCCAGGCATCCCTAAGCACCTTATTAGAAGGTAAAGCAGGTCCTACTGCCTATGAAAATTTTATTCAATGATGAGAACAAATTAGTTTGGGGCTGGAGCGGGTGTGTCTGCTCTCCATGGCCCTAAACTGGGTGGGTTTGTATCTCCAGGATGGAGTGTGTAGTAGTCCATTTTCACACGGCTATAAAAAACAACCTGAGATTGGGTAATTTATAAACAAAACATGTTCAATTGACTCACAGTTTTGCATAGCTGGGGAGGCCTCAAGAAACTTATAATCATGGCAGAAGCGAAGGGGAAGCAAGGCACTTCTTACTGGCAGCAGGAGAGAGAAAGAGGGGAACTGCCAGAAGAGGGGAACTTTTAGACCATCAGATCCCGTGAGAACTCACACTCACTGTCACAAGAACAGCCCTGGGGAAACTGCCCCATAATCCAGTCATGTTCCACCAGGCCCCTCCCTCAACACATGGGGATTACAATTTGAGATGAGATTTGGGTGTGAACACAGAAGCAAATTGTATCAGATTGTGACAGACTTTTTTTTTTTTTTTTTGAGATGGAGTCTCGCTCTGTTGCCCAGGCTGGAGTGCAGTGGCGCAATTTCAACTCACTGCAACCTCTGCCTACTGGGTTCAAGCGATTCTCCTGCCCCAGCCTCCCAAGTAGCTGGGATTACAGGTGCATGCCACCACGCCCACCTCATTTTTTGTATTTTTAGTAGAGATGGGGTTTCAGTGTGTTAGCCAGGATGGTCTTGATCTCCTAACCTTGTGATCTGCCCACCTCAGCCTCCCAAAATGCTGGGATTACAGATGTGAGCCACCATGCTGGCCCATGACAGCCTTTTTAAAGAGCACATATGCAGACACGGACTCCCTTTCTTCGGGCAGACAAGAAGGGTGAGCAGTGAGTGCATTATGTGAAGCATCTTTTTTTTTTTTTTTTTTTTTTTTTGAGACAGAGTCTTGCTCTGTCACCAGGCTGGAGTGCAGTGGCGCAGTCTTGGCTCACTGCAACCTCCACCTCCTGGGTTCAAGCGATTCTTCCGCCTCAGCCTCCGAGTAGCTGGGACACAGGTGCGTGTGCCACCACACCCGGCCAATTTTTTTTGTATTTTTAGTAGAGACAGGGTTTCACCATGGTGGCCAGGATTGTCTCAATCTCCTGACAGCGTGATCCGCCCACCTCAGCCTCCCAAAGTGCTGGAATTACAGGCATGATCCTCCGTGCCCGGCCTATGTGAAGCATCTTGACGGTCGACACAGCAGCTGTTGACTGTCACTGCTGGACAGTGGTGAAAGCAGACAGCTGTGGGCCAGGTCACTGCTTGCTTCCCAGAGAGCCCTTCAGCTGGGGGGCCCAGAACACAGCTGAGCTCCACCGGCTCCCTCAGTGAGCTCCTTTGGCTTGTGTGAATGACAGGGGACCCCTGGTTCCTCTGCTTCGTGCATCGTCACACTCTACTCTGCCTCTGCTGGGCAGTTCAGATGGCAGCGTTGCAGGTTGGCTGCAGGGGTGTTGGCCAACCCTGGAGCTGCAGTGCAGCCTGGGTATGAGCACACACACCAGGAGCCTAGGACAGTGGCAGTAGAGCAGCTCGAGCGGAGCGTTTCCTGGGGCTCAAGGAGAAGTACTTAGATGGCCTGCTCTGCACGTACCAGGCTGAGTGGTGAGCCAGCAGGGAGCACCTATCATTTTCTGAGATACTCAGCTGTCTTCATGTCCTCTGAAGAGCGTAAACTTACTGTCTTACAGTTCCGGCATGCAGCTTAAAATGGGGTCAAAATGCAGGTGTCAGCAGGGTTGTGCTGCCTCTGGAGGTTCTAGAGGAGAATCCATTTCCAGCCTTTCCCACCTTCTAGAAGCCGCCTGCCTGCCTTGGCATGGAGCCGCTTCCCTGCGTCTTCCAACCCAGCCATGTAGCCTCTTCTGACCTCTCTCTGACCTCTGCTTTCATCGTCCCATTGCCTTCTCTTGTCTCCCTCCTGCCTCCCTCTTGTAATGTAATGACCTGTGTGATTCGCTTGGGCCCACCTGGATGATCCAGGATCATCTTCCCATCTCAAGATTCTTAACTAAATCCTATCTGCAGAGTCGCTGTTGCCAAGGAGGATGTTCACCGGTTCCAGAAATTAGGATGTCGACATCTTTAGGGGTCATTATTGAGTCTGCCATATCAACCTATGTGGTAAATATTTAGCAATCAATAGTTTGAAGGACAATACAAGAAATTAGGCATATCTTTGAATCTCTCAGTCCAGCATTGCTGAAGATGGGATGTCAGCCCCATCCATGCTCCAGCCACTCTAAGGAATGATGTGAAGGGGAATGCCCCAGAGTAACACTCATGTATATGTTTTTTTCTGTATTTTAATAGTGTTATAAAATACAACCATTGTACATATTCATTTGTTTTTGTTTTTGTTTTGGAAGCAAATTTCCGTCAGGAAAAACAGCCTTGTTGCTGTCCCGTCTACAGTATCTGCTAAAATAAAAGTACCAGTCTCTCAGCCCATAGTGAAGAAAGACAAACGGCAAAACTCTTCAAGGTTTAGCGCAAGCAATAATAGAGAACTTCAAAAACTACCGTCCTTAAAAGGTAATTTTTATTTGTCTTTTGAAAGTTAAATTGTGGCAGTTGGAGTGAAGGAGCAATGTTTTGATAATTTGCTAACTTATTCCTTTGCTGTGTTTGTATTTTGCAGGGTCATTTTTTCTGTATTGAGGTTTTTTTGTTTGTTTAGGTTGAATGTCATTAACTTATTTACTCAACTAACATTTTAAATTCCAGAGCTAAAGATAAAAGTTTAACAACACAGTATAGGCATAATACACTAAGAAAACAGGAAAAACTGAACATCTTTTTATTTATGGTATTAAGTTAGTCAGTTTTTCTTTTAAATTATCATTTGTTTGTCTTAGAACTGTAGCAATTCCAAAAGGCATTACTCCAAGTAGGGTAATTGCAGAAATTGTGGTAGAAGTTGTCCGTGTTTGTAAAGTAAGAACTGTAGCTGTAGTACATTATGAACTTGCTTTGTTATGATTCATTTGGGGATTACCTCTACTCAAGCATTCCTTATGTGGAATATGTCAGGAAAGCATGCTCTTTACTTTTGAATTTCCCCCCAACTGACACAGCCATTCCTTTCCATCTCAGGTTGTTTAATCCCTAAAAGTCTTCCTTTAGATTTTGAGGTTGAGGTGCTTAAAGCCCTATCAAGGAAAACAGAGTAAGGACCCTAAAGTCAAATGTGAACCTCTTAAAACCTTTATAATTACTGAAATATAAGACAGATATACTAAAGTAAACATCATTTTTCATGCCTTAAATTATAATAATGGGTCATTTACAGTTAATTTGCCCTGAATATTAATTCAGTGACCAGTCCAGTGGCCTGCACTTATAATCCCAGCACTTTGGAAGGCTGAGGCTGGAGGATCTCTTGAGCCCAGGAATTCAAGACCAGCCTAGGCAACATAGGGAGATGCCATCTCTACAAAAACATTAAAAAGTTTGCTGGGCATGGTGGCACACACCTGTGGTCTCAGCTGTTTGGAAAGCCGAGGTGGGAGGATTGCTTGAGCCTGGGAGGCCAAGGCTACAGTGAGCCATGATCGTGCTACTGCACTTCAGCCTAGATGACAGAGTGAGATCCTATTTCAGGGGGAAAAAGAAAAGTGAATATGAATTCAATAAGAGGAGGCAATCTGTCATCTTTACAGCTGTATTTTCAGGCTTTCCACACTATGGAGCAGATAGCAGATGTACCAGGTGGAAGCAGGGAGGAACTGGGGGGATGGTGGATTTATGGGTGGGCGGATGGGTGGGTGGATTTATGGGTGGATGAATTTTCTTGCCCCTCACTTGCTAGAAATCCAGGTCCTCACATGCATTTTATAGAGCTCGTATTTGGCTGATATTTGGTTTCTTATACAGCTTGTATTTGGCTGGTATTTGTGGTAGATAATATGCATACTAGGTCATTTTTGATTAGTCTTCCTCTTCCCAAATAGGATATGCCTTTCTCATACTATTCATTCATTCGGCAAATATGTGTTGAATGCCTATGAAAGCTGTTCTAGATTCTGGGGGTACAGAAACAAAACCAAGCCCACATTCTCCTGGAGTGAGCAACCCATTGGTGAGACAGTAAGGAAAAGGATAGGTACCGACTCCCTCTTCCAGTACCCTTGGGAGGCCCGGAGTCAGAGGGAAGGAAAAGGCTTTGTTCACCCATTGGCGAGACAGTAAGGAAAGAGGTAGGTACCAACTCCCTCTTCCAGTAGCCTTGGGAGGCCCGGAGTCAGAGGGAGGGAAAAGGCTTTGTTCACCCATTGTTGGGCCTTCATATCCCAAGCCCTGTCCTTAATGCCCGTCATAGCTGGGGCTTTGATCTGCCGTGTGCCCCACCTTTCCATGCCCACCCCGCCTCAGCCAGTGCATGCTGGGTGTGTACTGCTGCTGAATTTGGTCAAATGGCATATGATTTTTCTCCTTAAGATGTTAAGATTATAATTGCTGTGTTGATAGATCTTTCTGTTTTTGAACCATCTTTGCATTGTCAGTTTCGTCACAGTCTATTATTCCATGCGCGGGGCAGAGCCCATGCCAGAACCACTGTATGCAGGCCTCCAGCATACTTCCTTCATCTCTTCTGAGGAGTGTCTGCACAAGCCTCTTTCTCCATCTGTTCTACGTCTGTTTTCTATTCTCAACCTCCATTTCCTTTGTTTCTTGTTAAGCCTGGTAAGAATGTTTGCAGTATACTTCCACTGACACTTATATTTTCACTATTCCCCAAAAGGGTAAATTCTCCATGGTAAAGCCACATATCCAGGAGAATTTCATATGGAGCAAGCCAGTTCCCCTCACTGATCCTGTTTGCTGATTCTTTCTTGGCTGTTCTAAAACATTAACGCTTCTGTATATATACTAAAATAATTTCACCTAGTTCAGAAAAATAATAATTGATTGAAATTAATTAAAGTTATATATTAATTGGATATCTTTTTTCCATCTAGGAAGATGGTATATATCATATCCCCCATTTTTCTGGGTCTTGTTTTCTTTTCTTTTTTTGTTTTTTTCTTTTTTGTGTTTTTTTTTTTTTTGAGATGGAGTTTTGCTCTTGTTGCCCAGGCTGGAGTGCAACAGAGAGATCTCGGCTCACCGCAACCTTCACCTCCCAGGTTCAAGTGATTCTCCTGCCTCACCTCCCGGGTAGCTTGGATTACAGGCATGTGCCGCCACTCCCAGCTAATTTTGTACTTTTAGTAGAGACAGGGTTTCTCCATGTTGGTCCGGCTGGTTTCAACTCCCAATCTCAGGTAATCCACCCGCCTCGGCCTCCCAAAGTGCTGAGATTATAGGCATGAGCCACTGCGCTCAGCCCTGGGTCTTGTTTTCTGACTTAATATAAAAATTTTATGGTTTCCTTATAAATCTCTACCTTTCCAGTAAATTTATTTCTAAATACTCCGTAGCTTTTGTTTGTCACTCTTGTGACTGGGTTATACTTATTCCCATTTCCACTTCTGATTGGTTCTTGCCCATGTCATGCAGAGCGATTTGTTTTTAAATGTTGTCTTTTGCCATCACCTTACCACATTTTCGTATCAGTCTTAGTAATTAATGTTTCCACTAGAGTCTGCTTGCAATCGATTCTTTTACCACTCTTCCACTATTTATGCCAACATAGACTAGTTATTTTAATTTTATTCTGCCACAAAGTAGGACCAATGAAAGCCAGAACGGAGGTGATAGCAGGTGCTCCTGTTACTCCCATTTTGGTAATTGGCTTCAGCGTTTCCTAATTCAATGGGAAAGTGGCCCTTGGTTTCTGGTAAGCAGTCTTTGCGAGGCTGCGTGCTCTGGAGTCCACATTCACAGGACTCTTCCTGGACCCCATGCAGGCTGGTTGGTGCTATGCCAGTGCCTGCTGGGTGTGTACTGCTGCTGAATTTGGTCAGATGCCATAAGATTTTTCTCTTTAAGATGTTGCTATTATAATTGCTGTGTTGACAGATTTTTCTGGTTTTGAAATATCTTTGCATTTTGTCAGTTTTGCCACAGTGTATTTTCATAGTTAGAACATTTCTAAATTTCTAAATTCTAACTTCTAAATTTCTTTAGAATATTCGCTTCCATATTTACTACATGGAGCTGGTCTATAGTTTTCTTCTTTTTCATAAGACTGTATTTTGTCCCATCTAAGATTTGCTGTCACCAGCACTTTGTGATGATTCCAGGATGGTCTGCAGAAGCTTTTCCCGTGCTCTCTCACACTGCCAGCTCACAACAGGGATGATGAGATGGACCCGGATTTCAGAAACAATGAAATGTGGAGTGTGTCCCTGAAACAGCGTTCAAAGGATGACTTGGAACTCCCTGGGCCTGTGGCTTTTCTCTGTGAAACATCTGTAGCTTCTTTCCATAGTGGGTCCGTTTGAAAGTGGGGTCTGTTAAGTAGTACATGGTAAATGCTTAATGGACCTTTTAATCTCTTCCCTATCTGTGGTGGTTATGTCTCCTTAAAAGTTCATGTATTCTTTTGACTGTTCTGTTTGTATTCAATATTATGCATCTCCACTTTTCTCTTTAATTATCTCATGTCTTTTATTTCAACCTTTTCCTCATTTATTAAGTTGAATAGAGAGTTCACTTATTTTTAGTTTGCTTTTTAATAGTAAAAGAATTTAAAGCCACATAGTCATTCTAAGTATAACTTTCAACCCTATCCTTAGGGTTGTTTTTTTTTTTCCTCTGACTTTTCAAGTCATAGACTTCTCTTTGTTAGAGTTAATTGAGGCATAATTTACATATCCTAAAATTCACTCATTGTAACTGGAATATTTAATTATTTTAGCAAATATATAGCGTTGTGTAACCATCACCACAATTCTGTTTTAGAATGTTTCCGTCATTCTCTAAAAGTTACCCTGTGCCTATTCACCACGGATTTCCGCGCCCAGCCCAGCCGCAGGCACCCACTGATCTGCTTTCTGTCTCTCGACTTACTTTCTTCCGGACATTTCCCCTCAGTGAAATCAGACAATAGGTGGTCTTTTACATCTGGTGTAATGTTTTTGAGGTTCATCTGTGTTGAGTAGTTTTTTTTTTTCAATCCTGAATCATGGTCAGCTGGATATACCACATTTTGTTTATCCGTTTTGGGCTATTTCTTACCTAGTATGAATAACAGTGCTGCTGTGAACATTTGCATAGAAGTCTGTGTGAGCATATATTTCATTTCTCTTGAGTCGATACCTAGGAGTTGAATTCCTAGCTTGTATGGTAAGTTTATGTTTAGCTTTTATTGTTTGTTTGTTTGTTTGTTTAAATGGAGTCTCTCTCTTTCGCCCAGGCTGGAATACGGTGGCGCGATCTCGGCTCACAGCAACCTCCGCCTCCTGGGTTCAGGCGATTCTCCTGCCTCAGCCTCCCGAGTAGCTGGGATTACAGGCATGTGCCACCACACCCAGCTAATTTTTGTATTTCCAGTAGAGATGGGGTTTCACCATGTTGGCCAGGATGGTCTCAATCTTCTGATCACATGATCCGCCTGCCTCTGCCTCCCAAAGTGCTGGTATTACCGG